TAGATTCATTCATTCAGTTTATGTTGAATATGACATTTTAAAAGCTGTACAATTTAGTCTTGGAATTCTGTTTATCTTCTCGTCCCTAAAAATTAGAACCAATTAAAAATAATAAAATTACATGTATTCTTATGACAGAAAATATTTTCACAGACCTGCCACCATAGAGGTTTCATTTGATTTGAAAAAAAATAAATGATGTCTTTCAAAGCATCAACTTATTATTATCATCTTGCCTTACTGTGAATAAATCCATATTTTTCTGCCCTTACTTCTGGTGATTTGTGTGACATCTGTGGAAATAAAAGGCTTTGAAAGAAAATGGGCAAATCTGGGTTACACGTGAGTTGCTGATGAGCTGAAATCTCAGCCACAGAGGAAAAGCGGATAGTGTCCTACTTACACAACTGTTAAATAAAGCTCCTGAATTTTACTTCCTCCCCACCAATGGATATCAATCAGGTTATTTTTTTGAGCCTATCAAAAATAATAAAGTGTCATTGTAATATTTCTCCTGGAAAATATAAGGCCAGCAGAATCTGTATAAGCACATATGTGTTGAAAGGAGGGGAGAAGTGTGTGACAGCTGACTTTTCCCTGGTTCGTATCTTCTTTAGCTACTTCATAGTCCAGTGAATGATAGAATCGTCACCTTGTGTACTTCATACAAGAATTCTATTCTTTCCTTGAAAGATTCTGAGGATAGGTCTCTAGTACATGAGTCAGGAGACCTGAGATCAAGTTTCAACTTGCTACATTACCTTGGATAAGTCACTTATTCTTTCTATACCAAAGTTTCCTTTTATGAAAAATAAGGAAAGCATTTGCTCTAGATACCTCATAGGTTGCTACGAGGACTAAACCATGTAGTATATGTGAAATAACTTCGAAAAGCACAGAATTAGTAAACAAATGCAAAATATTCTTATCATTACCATCATAAAATTTTGAATGAAGTTCTTACTCAGATGTCATACTGTGATGTGGAGTTGATGCTTGGTTCTGAGGAGCTATAGCTATATGCAGAATGCAGTTTTTGGCAGATTCTATTAAACTAGAAAGGCTTCAAGTACAGGTCAATGGACAGCCTGATATCCCAGTATCACGCCAAGTTGAGAGCTTTGTCAGCAGAAGGTCAACCTCCAAGAGATACATTTTTTTGACCAGAGAAACTGACAGAATCAGCTACTAAAGCAAGAAAGACTTTCAACCATTATTGTTGAAAGGAATACTCACACTAATGAATGCACATATCTTTTGAAATATATTTTAACATAGTTACCATTGTCCTTATATTAATTACTTATGGGTTATCCCAAGTTGGACTAACAGATTTTATTCTTCCTAGCTAAGTGAGAGGATCTGGTCTTATGGCCTTAGTTAGCTGATAGATATCTGTTAGCTGCAATGGCTAATTTAGGCCCTGAGCCACATATTCTTTTCTTCTCTCAAAATAATAATTTTCAGTTCTGTCCCAAACTAAAGAGAAAAGAGTATTGCTAATCCCCGTGGATGTGACGTTTACCATGTAATAAATTAATAAATGCTATATTAAGGGGGGTCAGCAAAGTAGAACCAGTTTAGAGCTTTAAAGTGAAATAAATATTTCATGTAAATGTTCATTCATGTAGAAATGAAATAAGATAGATACACGGGTGACTACAATTGCCTAAATTATTGTTGGGATTTGGGACAATATTTCATCTTTTCTTTAACATTAAAACAATCCTTAGCCATTAATATCCATTGGCCACAAAGCAAACATTCTACTGATTCCTCTAGTTCAGATTTCAAATAAAGATTATTTACTAGTTAACCACTTCAAACCACTGGCTCTACACAGACTCATTTTATTTTATTTTTTTTAAATGAAAATAAATAGCATAAGATAATTATGGGGTAACTTCCATTACTTTTGCTCATTTCAGTCATAAAAAGTTAAAGAAGTTATAAAACCTCTTCTTGTTTAATAAACTCATTATCATATTCTTAAATAGAACAAGACTTTGTGACCCTAAAAACTGACAAAGAAGGTAAAATAGCCTGTTTTCTACTTCCTAATGTACTGCTCTTAACCTGTTAGGCATTTCACAATTGTTTCTGGTATTGTCATGCCAAAATACTGCATTAGAAATACAAGTCAGTTCTTTGCAACATCCTTGGTCTTTGTGAAGTATATAATGTTTCTCCTTACTGTTACTCCTGACTATAAGTGTTTTGGTTGCTGTCCTTGTTTGAATGCATAGGATAATCCCTGCTTCTTAAATACCAAAGAAATCTTCATGTACTAAAAGCATGAATTGAACCGTATAACTCTACCATGAAGGGGAAGAGTGTTACAATTCATTCATACATTTAGAAAACAGTACACGTGATGCTCAGAAACTGGATAAAGACTGAGCGAGCCTATCCTTGACCTACCCTAATTGCTTCTGTGACCTCAAGCAACTAATTTTAGTTCTTGCTATCTACAAAAATCCATCCTCCTATTGCAGAGTAATATCTTCTCAAAATGATTCAGTACACTTAGATAAAAGGGTGGTATTAGCACACAAGCAAAAGATGATCACTAACTATATTAAAGATGTAAGTAGACTATTTGAAAATAAGGCTTTTGTGAATATTTTTATTTATGGTCTATAAATTCATTCATGAACATTATGAAAGGCACCAGGTAAAAAAAAAAGCAGACAAAATGCTGAATTATAATGTTTCTCACATAGTTTCAAAACCTTAGTAGGTCTTAAAATATAGATTTTCAATATTCAAGTGACAAAAAATGTATAAAAATGTGCACATATCATAAAATATTGGAAAGCAAATATATATATAGTAATGAAAACTGTATGTCTCACTTTCAAGAGAGAGTAGGAACATAAATTCTGTGACAGGTACATTGAAAACTCCTTATAGTTTCAAACTGAATAGTAAGGCATTTCTGAAGTGACCTCATTTTAAAAATTCATGGGTGCTCTATAACTATAAATGTATAGTTATATTGAACATTATGAGAATTAATTGTATCATTGTCTTACTCTTCAGAGTCCAATGTTCAAACATAAAAATGCTAGCCAGTTGTTTGCAAGAGCACATTCTGTGAATGACTGATTTTAGTAGTGTGTTTGTCATGAGACAAATGAACAAAGTGAAATACATATCATTCAGCAGATGGAGAAAAATGAAAGTAATTGGAATAATGTAACCTGAAAAGAACACACAAGGATGATGTTCTGATTGTTTTCAAATATAAGACAAAAGTGGAAAGAATTTGTTATCCATCAACCAGCAAAGTAGGAAGACTCAAGTATCATTTTAATAATATGATTCCTTAGAAAAAAAATTTTCATCTGAATGTTACTCAGGGCAGTATGACTGTCTTGTATTACACTGGAAATCTTTAGTAACAAAGTGAGGAATCACCTATTTTAAATTAGAATAAAACAATCATGCTGGGGAAATTGGGTTGATTGAACTGGCGTCACTAAATTCCTACCCAGTTCATAAACGTAAAATTAATTTGACTCCAACAAACGCCAAAAGATAGTCAAAGATTATTCTTAATGAGTTTTCAACTTCCATTTCTTATTTCTACAATTTTTTGCCTTTTGTATTCAAATAATCAGATTATACTCAAATGGAAGTGTTCAGGTACACCTTTATATCAGGGGTCAAAGATATGGTATTTGGAGGCAGATATATTGTTGTCTCACATGAGCAAGTCCTACATGCGGCATCCTTCCCCTGACCCCCTCCATGCCTAGTTGTCTTCCTATTATAAAAGGACAAGAAGTTAGCTAAAGCATTGGTCTCTTTTTAATCTTTTCCAGTGGGGTCTGTCCTGATTATACTACCCCTACCATTCAGCACCACCTACAGCTCCGGGATGGTGGTGCCGAAGGGACAGCTCCCAGTGCTGCGGGCCATCTCGGTCAGAGGTTCAGCAAAGCTTTCAGAAAGCAAACATTCCTTTTTAACGCACACTCATTCACAAAAATCTGGGAAGAGAACCACCGTCATCTCAGCTTACATGGAAATGTAGTTAGACTGACTGTCGTGAACACCCACCACCCACCCTACCAATATTTAGCATGCAAGCTGACACGGAGTAAGAGGGGGAGGGAAGAGGAGTCGAGGTGAGGATTGTGGGCCAGGGGGAGGGGAGGAGAGCGAAGGAAAGAGGATAGTGAAAGTTATCCCCCCCAACCCTAAAGATCTCTCTTTTTTTTCTTCTCTTCCTCTCCTATCGTTCCCCAACACCACCACCACCACCACCACCACCACCCCGCTGGCCCACCATACGGAGTTTGGGACAAGAGAGAGAGATCCGGAAATAGAAGCACTTGTTGTTTTCTTGAGCCCATGAATCATTAGCACGATTTATTCAATTCAAATACTCGAAATTGTCAAAATGCAGAGTCAAATATGCGTGCGTGTTTTCTACAATCACAGTTGCTTTGCAGAGATAAAACTCAGCCCTTAAAGCGCTCTCGCTTACGCCCTTGAAAGCAGCAAAAGACAGTTGAAGAGAGTTTTCTCAGTCCTGTCCCTGTCCCGTTCTGTGAGTGTAAGTGTGCGGGCATCTCATAAACACTGCTGCTGAACTCCTGGTCCGTCTTCCCATTTCATGTAATACACCGGGTCCTGTACATATGTAGAGGTGAAAGAGAAAGAGGTGGGAAGGATGTTTCCTTCATTTATAACGTTGCATCTCCGCGTTTCAGAACTCTTGATCAGTCATATTTATGCAGCTGTTAAATATTTCATCAAAGGTAGAATCTAATGCAGAACAGTTTTATTTTTAATAAGAAAGCCTTAAAATAGTCTGTTAGTAAATTGTAAGTGTTAAATGATTTCAAATGTAATCTCTCAAGTTCTCCCATCCCCACCCCCTCAAAAAAAAAAAGCTTGCTGCAGATTGTAGAAGGATTTGAGTCTGCAGCTAGAGTGAGGGGGATTAGGGCGAGAGCAGTGCAAGTTAAATTGTGCTGCATATAAAAAAAATGGGCGGATTGGTCTCTAGATGGAGAGACTGGTACCACCTTCCTTTCTAAAATAAAATCTCTCTGGCATGAAGTCACTGCCTATTTCACATCCGGTTTACCCTGGGACGTATTACTACTGTCTTGGTAAAGAGAAATCTTTTGTTGTATATCTGCAGACAGAATATTGGGAAGAAATTTGGGTGTGAAATCTTCAACACTGAAGTACGGAAGAGTCCATGACGCCTCAGACTGTATGAGTGAGAGGCAGATCTAGGGACAACACTCAGCTCCAGTCCCTCAGCCATCCCTTACTCTCACCAGCTCCGATTTCTTGGCGATTTTCTCTGGCAGACTTTCCACCCTCCCTTCCCAACCCCCCTGCCCCCCGCCCGCGTCTTCAGAGATCCAGTGCCTGAAGGGGGCCGGAGGTAAGTGCTGCTTCAGGACAGCGAGCAGACCTTTGAACGTGGGTTTTTCAAGCCTGAGAGATCAGGAAGCTACAGGGGGAAGAGAGAGAGGGAGAGGGAGAATGCGAAGAGCCCGTTTCCACGGCAGGTAGAAAAGATTGGGGAAAAAAGGATGAAAACCTCAGCAATTGCCGGGGCACCCGCTACTCTTCCCCTACCTTCTCCCCTGGATTTGGGTAGATTTGAATTTGGAATTTATTCTTGGAAGAGGAGGGGGAAATAAGACTTGTTTTGGTCTATTTTGCAAAGGTGGGGGTGAGAGGGATATGGTCCAAAGTTGCAATGATGGGAAGCAAAACGTGTTTCAATGTAAGCTTTGGGTGAATGCACTCTTTTAATCTGGCACCAACATGCATCAAATGCATCTTTCCCCTTTTTTTCCAGTGAATGCTGCCGAAATGCTTTTGCGTGTGGAAGTCATTCTCATTTTGTATTTGATAAACTCAAGAAATTATATTTTAATGCCTTCATATTGTGTGTGTGTGTGTGTGTGTGTGTGTGTGTGTGTCTGTGTTGAGAAACGGAGAGGCATGTAGAGAAGAAAGTAACCTGGGGTTCCTTTGTAAATTGGCATGTTTGCATTTCTCTTTTCATGCTGCAAGAAACTTTACTTCTTCAGCAACTGTAGTATCTTGTTGGGATTGTTTTTCTCTTAAAAATATTAAAGGAAGGCAAAGACCTGGAGCTCAATGCCTAGGTAATCTTTTGGGAGATTTAAACAAAAACCAAAACAAAAATATTTTAAAAGTCAGTTGAGTTCAGTAAGAGAACCTATTTTATTTTATTCAGATGTTGCTGCTTTATTGGAAGGTGCATTATGTTTGTGCAACTTGAATGCAATCTCTTACTATATAGATTTTTATTGTTTCTTTCCTGTCATATTTAACTCATCTTTGTCAAAGCCAGATATGAAATCAACCCAGATCTATTGGTGGCTTAGCATTTCTTATCTCTTAGATCATTTTACTCAAAATACATTGTGTTTTATTGCTCCCGTGTCTGATCGTAACTGTTTGTTTTTGATTTAAATAGTCCCTGAGAGTGTGGAATGAATTGGTGTGGATTTTTAGAGGCATACCATATTAAACTATAGAGTACTTAATTTATAAAGTGTTTTAATGTATTGCAATTCATTAATCTTCTCAACTACCAAGAGATGCAAATTTGCATTTACATTTCTGAATGTTTTAATTAAAGTGTATGCAAAAATATAAAAATCATTCAATACCTAAAAACTGAGTTGGATTAGAAAACTGAAGCCATAAATAGATTCAAAGTTTGCATTACTAAAACCTTCCTACAATTCATCCTCCTAAAATCCACAATATTCAAAACCCAACAATTAGCAATAGTTGCATTTTATCTAAAAGGGAAACATCCTGTATAAAATCATGGCAAAAACAATGTACTGCTAGCTTCCATATGAAAATATCCTGTTTATAAGAAAACATTTCTGATCAGTCAGCGTGGAAAAAAATGGGGCTATGAAGTGTCAGTGTGTTTGTATGTATATGTAATCAGCACATGGTTGGATTATAAAGTATGTCCTTTGCCCTCATGGAAGTATTAGTGTGCATACTGAATAGGAAATCATAAGGAGGAGAATTCCAGCATTATTCTTGTGTACAAACCAGTAGGTTTCAAAAGATAAAGAAAGATAAGCATGGTCAGCTCTGAGATAAAGGTAGATACAGAATGTAAAAGAGAAACATAGCCATTAAAAAAAAAAAACCTTTTCTATTATATTCTACAATAATACACTCTCCAGGATATGAAAAATAGTTTTACATTTTATTACACAGTAAATTCTTGGAAACTTAATTTTGAGGTGACCAAGTTTTTAGATTATAAACAAAAAAGGGGGAAGAAGATGATTTTCTTCATACTGGAAAGGTTGAAAAGTCAAGTCCCCAAAGACAGTTCTCAAGTTGAGAAAGTACCATCAGAAAGTATTTAAATGTTTGTGCTTTTCCAAGGAGAGTAAAGATACAGATTTATTTCTCAATGGAGAAATGAAAGGGAGAGTAGAAAATGATGAGGCCCTATTTGTATTGTTCCAATGAGGTGTCATATCACTGTGAGGTCATTTCCTGACTTGAAAGCATTCATCTAAATGACCTCAGCCCTAGTGGCTATAACCCGACTTTTCCTGAAAGGGATGTTGATATCTACTTATTTTACTTTTTAGCTAGGAAAACCCAAGATGAAGAGGAAACTTGGTCTTCCTGAATATCTTTGGGCCTGGACACTCCTTCTGAATGTACTGGCTGGAAAAAGGTGGGGAGACTTTATTTTAAAACTGCATGAATACTTCTATATCCTTCCATTTATTCAAACAGGGAGAAGTAAATTTTGCCTGAATGGAAGCACTTCTAAGGGAATTCAGGAAAGTTAATTGGAGTCAGATCCCAGCTAAGTCTAAAGAAGAGTAGCCTGAAAGAATAATGCCACTTCTTAGCATGGCATGCTAATTAGATTATGCTTAACAATCTTCAACAAAGAATACAGGAATATAGCATTAAATTTTAAAATTGAACTTCTCTTTGCCAAATAGAATCTGCTTGTAACATGCTATTCCAAATCCATAGAGAACAAGTACAACAAACTTTCCAATTTCAGGTGCATCTACTATGTTCCGTCAAATAATATATCTATTATATTAAACTTAGGTGTACATGAGTGTAGGCACACAATACCTCCAAAAATACCTCAGGTTTGAACTCTAGATTTTATAAAAAATTATAATGTACTATACTTTTCTGGCTAAACTTACGTAGAGCGTTTTATTATTTTTAAATTTATCTATTTGCAAATCTTTAAACATGTTTAATAAAATGTGACCTTTGAATTAATAAGTGATTATGGAATATAATTGGTCATGAGAGGAACAAATTAATGCATATAGTTGTAACCAAAACAAAAATAAAAATCCATCAATAATCCAATATAGACATTTAATACCATAAAGAATATATTTTTAGTAACACTTCATGAACCAAATTTTTAAAAGAACTTTTTTATTTAAAAACCATGCGCACCTAACTCACCATTGCTATTCACAAGGATAAATTAGGCATAACATAGAATACAAAGTATCTTCCAAAAGATAATAAAATAAAACATGTTTATTCAAACTATGATTTGAAGCAAATTTAATAAGTTTCAAACTCACGTACTTCATAGGAAAATTTATATCAATAAGTTGTTTACCTTTCTATGTCATTATCATTCATGGTTAAGGATATTTAAATGATGAGTGGAGAATATGGCTTACAATAAGATGTAAGTAATTGAAAGATTTAAATGTAATTCATTGCTTTTTGAAATATTATGTGGTGTCACTATTGTAATGACCTGTAGATGGAGTTAGTGTACAGTGTTTCATTATATGGTGGTTTAGTATGAAACCACAGTCACATACTATAACTGACATTTCCTTTCAAAATATACACTCAGTTAATACCAAATAAATGGTCTTCCTCTTTATCATCATTCCACGTTCTGGATAGTTGTTTCAGTGTTGCAGTAAAATAGCAGTGCTGGGGATAGAAGATCAAATTAACAAATTACATTTAAAAAAAAACACCTTTCTATTTCCACTAGACTAACAGAGCTGGTCCTCTTTAGCCAAAAGCAAGCAAGCATGCTGTGATAAAGACTCATTTGATACTGATATCCTACTATGCCGGACAAACTATATTAAGATGAAAATAGTTATGTCCTCCTAATCCATGCAAGTTACGGCAATATATCTTATATTTGGAAGCAGCTATAAAACTAGTAAAGAAAATGCAGGTACTGGTAAATGGATGATGTTCCAGATATGATATTAATTGCACAAATTTGGTTTGCCTTACCATCTAACTTCACGGTGTTCCCCTCTTCCTCTCCAAACACTTCTTTTTCATGCTCACTCATATCTTTCTCACAGTCTAAGGTGTACTGGCATTTTACTTCCTGTTTTCTGTATGTGACCTTTGAATAACCTTGGAATGATACACTCACAGTATTTTGTTTGGTGACATTGAGTTTTATAAGGAATTTCATCAGGAGACTGCTTCTGCATTCCTGCCGTCATCTGCCAAGTAGAGGTCATGAAAATGCAGGACTCCTTGAAAAACTGGGTTAGAAAGTTAAAAGCAAATACTTGCGGCACAAATAAAATACAAAATTAAACACGATTTTTCTTTCAATTAAGGGAAATTTGTATTGAAACCATTTAATTACACAGATTTTTAATATATTTAAAATCATCGAAAATTTATTTGTAACAAATGGATTAAGATGATACTTAAAAACCTGGACCTTGCGCTAATAAACAATGAAATTTCCATTTATCAATGTTTTCTTCTGAAATTATGCTTTGATAACGTCATTTTGGTCCATCCAAAAGAAAACTCTGAAAATCTAGTTTCACTTATTTATTTGTCTATCCATGTTTGAAAATCCAAAAGAAGCAGAGAAAATGAGGCCCAGCACATTCTGTAAAAGATCATATCAATGATCTATTAACAACATATTTTGACCAAAACATTGTATTTGCTGTTGTTCAAGCTAGTTATATGAAACAGGTTGTAATTCTGCTAGTTAGTGGCGTCACTTCAAATTTCCTAGAAGGGGGGCGTCACTTGTAAAAGTTCATTTCTGAGTAACATTTTTCATCATATCTAAGATAAATAAAATAACACTGTAAGTGATTAGTTCTAAGAAATGGATGATATTGAGTTCACAGAAGGCAAGGAAGTTGAGGTTCAAGATTCTGAGATTATTAACCTGATGTGCAATATGTATGCAATCAATAAATTCTGGTTATAGACACTGTCCAAGTGTAAGCAATGAAAGGAGAATTGGACTAAAGGGGAGTCTTATATTCTTGGCTGGGCTACCAATTGGCTATAATGCCTCAAGAAATTTATCTCTACATGACTCAGTTTCCTTACCTATTAAAGGCTGGATTCTATTAAATGATCTCTAAGGTGTATTATTATTCTGTGACATAAATGAACTAAAAAAAAAGATTTACAAATAGGAAAACTGCTGAAATTACTGAAATTACTAAGGAAGCTTTAAATGGCATTCCTTTCAATTACATAAAGACAATGCAAGTAATATATATTTTTTAAAGTAAATAAGACAAAAATGAAGGTTGGGCAATCTCTGGATTGACCAGGAGATTCTCTAGAAAAAAAAGAGATAGTTGATTTAAGGATTGCTTGATTTAGAAGAATGCATGAATATTTCTTTGGAAGGAATTTGTATTTGCCATTGTTTTGTGTTTCCAGCTTTGGGCAAACATCACTACAAGATGAAATTAAAGACAACACCACCGTATTTACAAGGATTTTGGATCGACTCCTAGATGGTTATGATAACCGCCTGAGGCCAGGATTGGGAGGTTTGTGATATTATTGTATTATTGTTCCATATATTATGGTTAAGCCTTTAATTTAAATAATTTAGTGAAAAACCTTTTTTTTAATTGTTCCATGCTAATTAAATATTTTGCAATAAACTAGCTAAGTAATGTGACATGGAGTTGTTGACAGACCTATAGATAAAAAAATATTTCATGATGATGTGAGAAAACATATAATATTCAAGAGCTTTACTTTCACCATACATGGAAAACATTGTTCTTCCATTTACAGACTTGTCTTCCCTTGTTCCAGGAAGGACAAATGTCAAATTTTTATATCATGCTGCACAAGAATCTAATGAAGACCATCAGTGTTTCATCAGGCATTGTTATTGCAATGTTGAATTTGAGTAAGACATATATAGGTCCATTTATTCACAGGTGTGTTTTGAAATAGCATATATTAACCTATATTTAGTTATTTCATAGGATGTTTTCTGAAAAAGAATAGAGCAGTGAAGGTAGTCTTTTTTTTGCAAATATGTTGAACTTTGTTCTTTTAATCCTTTTGGAAATGTTAGAGTATAATGAGATATTCCTGCTGAATGGTAGGTGTGGGATGGGAGAATTGAATTGTTTATGTTCATTATGGGAGAGGTGCTGGATTTGGAGTCAGAAGATCTGGGTTCAAATCTTAACCTAACATCTCCTACCTGTTTGGCCTTGGGTAAGCCAGTTACTCTTTCTTAGGCTGAGTTTCCTCATTTTAAAATAAACATGTTGGGCTAGATGTTTTCTGAAGTGTGTTCTAGTTCTTAATCTATTGTGCTATTATGAAGATCCTGACACAAATCATGAAGAGCTTCACATGAACATTCATAATCATCTCATATTTTAGCCAAAACAAATTATGACCCAAAAAGCAAAATAGATTGGTTTAAATAAGTGGAATGTTCAAAACCAGCAGCATATAGCTCTAGCAGTATCTATCAAGCTAGAAAGGTCTTGAGCAGGGTGATAGTGTACTTGCCATCTTAAGAGAAGCCTAGCTAAATTTGAGATGGCTCATCAACAAAACATGGACCACCAACTGATACATTGCTTTAACTAAAGCAATTTGTAAGGATGACTCATTAACACAGAGAGAGTTTAGCCTTTGGACAAATGGAGCTTGTAATGAAAGATATGGAATTAGGAATATTTGAAATGTTGATGTATGTGTTGCATCTAAAAGAAATCATAATTACATTTGAGAATAGAATGCAAAATCCGAGCTCTTAGGTCATTCCATGAAATAACAAACACTGCTATTAAATACTGAGGCAAAGATAACAAATATCAGGTGGTCCAGTGCTGCTTAGTTTCAGATGCTTAAGGATTTGATTTTGATATTAATGCTCAACTTGATTCCTTCACCTGAAGTCTCCTTATTCTTTGGAGAAGGTGAGTCACTTGACAGAGTGTTATGGGACTGTTGTGATGGCTGTCAACTGCCATTATGATTTCAGAAGGCCTGAGGGGACTACCTTGTCAAAGACACAAATCAAAAATATGTCAAAAATCTCATTAGTTCCCTTTTCCTATTAAATTCAAATATTTCTTCTCTGAAACATGCCTTTCATATTTTAATTGTGGTATTTCTTTTAGAATTCACTTAAGTATTGGTCTTCAATCTATAATTGAAATAATTGCCAATTAAAATTTGAGTCCACATACAAAAGAATGAGAAAAAATATAGAGACAATATATAAAGTGTGTCAAAATTTATCTACTTTCATGTAAACATTTGGATTGGCTCCAAAATAAATATTCATTAGGTCTTCATTAGTGCATCTTTCATTAATAATCCACTATGAAATAGACTCTTACAATGCATGATTCAAAGATTACAGAGACAAAGTGTAGTTACAAGAATAAGTAGTCAGTGTGCTACCCTAATATACAAAGGAAATATCTTTAAACATGGTGACATGGAAGTCAATGGGATTCCCTCATTAATCTCCATCTCTAATATTTGGTTCATCCTCACCCTACCTACAGTATTTTTCATCAAAACTTGGAATATGTGATGAACTGAAAACAATGGAAGCTATTTTGGACCGTGACATAGTTAAATAAATCATTTCTAACATTTTTACAACTTATACTACTTATATCATTTATGTACGTTTTCCACTGAATATTAAGTTTAAAAAATATAAAGTGCTTTTTTGAAAACAGGAGTTTAGAAGTTTTTATTTTCTAAAACCTTGAACATTACATAGGTTTTAATAATCCTAACTTGTTAACATCACTCTTATATACACTTTATTATTTGCAAAAATAGTAGTTGACCATATTGCAGTTAAGATACCAAAATAATTAATGCTATTTTAAATGACTTACAAATGTAATATTTTTATTTAAATTTCTTTTAGATACAACATATTGTTTTCATAATTGCCTTATCCATTAAATGCATAACTCTCCATGGAAGGGAACTGTTTTAGGGGTTGCAAAGGTAAAGAAATGCCCTAGGTAACTGATTCTCAAGTACGTAGAGCAAGAGGAGACCCTTCCAAAGAAATAACTTCATTGTGTCTAACCCAAGATAGGCAGTTGCTTTTAGCTAAATAGTTTAAACAGTAAAGGAAATTGGGACAGATTCTGATAGAACAGAAGGAATAGTTTACTAAACACAGACAAAACATCTAAATCAGTATTTTCTTTTCATGGATAGTATGGGAAGTAGAACATGATGACAAGCAGGAGCTTGATGAACAATGACAATGAATCCTGTCTTCCTTGTTAAGCATGACCTCAAAAGCCTCATTTTAGGTAACACATTGCAAATGGACATTTGTGAGAAAACTCATTAGAAAGAAAAGTCCAAATTCTTACCCACTTTTCCATCTAAAATGTGCCACATGGGGAGGGGGGTTTGCTATTAAAATTGACAAATTTGAATCTTAGAGAAAGCTTTATTACTAACAAACTTTGTACTTTTTATATCCCTCTAAGAGTATATATTTCAGTCAAGGTTTGCCATAAATGACATTTGGGTTTGGGACATGTCAGGGCATTCAATGTATACAAAGCCAATAGTTTCTAAGAAGCTGCAATTTATGAAAATTTCCAACATCAGCCATCTTATACCTTGAAACAGCAAATGTAAATGTTTCAGATTTTTTTTCCTTTAAATTAGCATCACCATTTTAATATATATTACTATGTCACTTCTTATTTCATTCACTAAGGAGTTTTCTTCACTGGAAAATTACCACCTTAGCATGCCTTAGTCATGTCATAGGATGATAGCTCTAAAGCTGGCAATGACACCAACGACTATGTAATCCAAACCCCTCATTTTGTATATGAGTAGACTGAAGGCCAAGGAGATTAAATGACGACCCAGGGAATAAATATCATATGCAAGTTTGTGGACTGGTTTTCCCAACTCCAGATGGCACTGTACCACATTATCATCGTTGCAATAACCAAAACATATGATCTGATGGCCATATTCTGGGGGTGACACTCTCAGTGAGAAACTATCTAGATTAGTCTTCATATAAGAGACAAGATAAGTTTTCATGGCTATAGCCTAAGCCTCCCTACCTTGGTAGAACCTGTCTAGAACATATGGCATACTGACAGAACTTTGAGGAACACAGAGTCAGCTGCATATGTGGTGAAACACCATAATGAGATCCAATGGAAATAGGTCATCTTTATAGTACTTTAAATTTATTTAATGCTTTTCTTCTATAGTGTACTTTTTCATATGTTTACATCTACTTCTAGTGACACAAAGAGGGCAAGCCATTCAATAATATTCATCATGAAATGAATTTCAACATGCCCCAGGAAAAAGTATATTCACCAAACATAAAAATGACATGGAGTAAGACGTAAGATATAATTAGTAATTAAGGCATGTGGAGATCTAGGCTGAAAATTGTGCTAGATGCCATTGTAGCTAAAATTAGATAGATGAGAGAGAGAGAGAGAGAGAGAGAGAGAGAGAGAGAGAGAGAGAGAGAATGTGTCACACTTTACAAAACATTTTAATATGTTTCTTTATTTTATCTTCGCAATCTGCGAAGGGAGCAATGCTTTTTTTTTTAATTTTACAGATGAGGAAACTAAGACAGAGAGAGCAAGTGCCTCTCCCAGGGTCATACAGCTAGTCAGCTCAAGTCAACAACAAGCATTTAATAAATGACATGAATCAATTGGAGGTAATATTAGAGAGGAAGTATCAATGTTAAAGGGGATCTGGAAATACTTCTTGCAGAAGTTGAGATTTTTAGGTGAGATTTAAAGGATATCAGGGAATCCAGTAGGCAGAGGTGAGTAGATAGAGAATTCTGGGCATTGGAGACAGTCATAAAAATGACAGGAAATTGGGAGATGGAATGCCTTGTGTAAAGAGGAGAAAGGATACCTGTGCCATTGGATCATCGAGCAAGGGAAAACATGTAAGAATGAAGGATTCGAATCCATATCTTCTTCACTCCAATCTAATACTATGCCACTTAGGATACTACTCTCCTATTGAAATTATACCAAGTTTCTCTTCTGTGCTTTGCAATGTCTTAGTTCAAGCAGGAGTTTCCTCTTCCATATGGTGTTTCTTGATCCCTCCCCACCCTCAAATAGCAGTATTCTCTCCCTTGTTAGCTATTCCTAAAATAACTTTGGCCCTTGGTTTTGCTACCATAATTCTCTACCTTATATTGTATTTATCAGTATGCATGCCATATTCTTTCCAGTAGAATTTAAGTTCCTTGAAGGTGGGTATTGTTTTGTTTTTGAATTTGATAACCCAACACAAAGCTTAATACCTTCAGCATAGTGGTTACTTACAAGGATTAAAATTTAATTAAATTTGATAATATACTCACTCTACTTTTATGGGCATTAGAATCTAGAGTTTCAAAGGGGAGGGATTATTTACTTTTTCTGGGTAACAAGTTGTGTCACAGGTAGGATATGAATCCAAGTCTCCCATACCTAGTGCTAAATATGACACTAAATCACACTCCTCATACTTTCAA